ATCATAACGAACTTTGTCGCGCTTTTTATGCATAAATAATAAATTAAGAATTTCTTGATTCGTATAAATGTTACTTTCGTTATTGTTATCGATTTTAACTCTTTTCAGAACTAATATTAAGGGACCTAACAGATAATTATTAGCTCACATGCATCAAGTGACGTAAACAAGTGAGTCTTTGACAAGAACTCATTGAGAAGGCTTGTTTTTCATGGCACACTAGGCTAAATATCCTTATGATATGTGTGCATTTTTCAAAAAACCCTAATTATCTCCCAAAATATTAATGTTAGGTATGGGACATATGGGATATAAAAGATGTAGAATGTGTCACCGAAGACGACTAACAAGGGAAGTGTCACAACTGTGTCTCACCGATTTCGATGCAATTTGGTACAGTCATAGAATGGGCCAAAATAAGGTTCGCACATTTTTTTATACGTGCGGTAAAAGCCCCTGGGGCGAGTTATAGGGGTTGAAAGTTTGGAGAAAAAGTACGTTTTCACTTATATTTTGAAAANATCTATTTTATTTTTTTCGCTTTAACATCCTGTATCTCAGTAAGGAGCAGACTAAGACCCATTATTGTTAATGAAAATATTATTATTTTGGCCTCCTGAACGTACATTTACAATTTGGCCCATTACTTATGAATCACCCTGTATATACAGGGTGTCTCAGGGAGACCGGTCATTAGACGTTTCTGGGGTTCTGGCCAAACAAAAAATTTGAGAATGCAGACATAAGTATTATCAATCAAGTTCTCTTCATCTAAAATATTTTCAGATTTCTAGCACTTCCGGTTATACCGGAAGTCGCCACCTATTTTATTTTTTTAAATGGAACACCCTGTATATTTTTACATATTTGGATTTATCTGTTTTGTAGGTTGATAAATAAGTTTACTTTTTGCAATTTGATTCGGCCGTTCTCGAGTTATTCGAATTTTTCTAGAAAAATCTGCTCCAGTGGACATTTGTTCAAAAAATCATAGAACACTCAATTTTTGAGATATCAATTTAGGATTCAGAACATGCTTAAACAACATGATGGAGTATGTTTTGGTGCCGAGAACGGCTGTCTAGATCGTTTGGTCACTTTACTATGATACGTTAACTTTTCGAAATTTGGAAGCACCATAACTTCATTTTTTTAAATGGCACCCCCCATATTTTATTACTTAGTCGTCTTCGGCGTCTCATTTTACATCTTTTATATTCCATATGTCCTATGCCTAACATTAATAGTTTGAGAAATAATTAGGGTTTTTTGAAAAATGCTCACATATCATATGGATATTAACCTAGTGTGCCATGGAAAACAAATGTTTAATGACTTATTGATAAACGTCAAAGTCTAATTTAGGTTGTTTGATGCTTGTGAGTCTAAAACCAGTTAAAATGGATATTAATAACGTAAATAATGTTTATACAAATGAAGAAATCCATAATTTATTTTTTGTGCACGAAAAGTGCGACAAAGTTCTTAGTAGAACTTGCAGAATGTTTAATGAAAATTATCCACATTTATCTCCGATGACAAAAGGTAAATTTAGAGGAATAGAAGCAAATTTTTTGCATTTTGGACGAATTAATCACGTGTTAAACTGACCAAAAAATGTAGTAGATAATGCAACGGAAGAGGTGAATACCTTGGCTTATTTCGAGCCCAGTCCCAACACCTCAATTCGAGCTGCCAAAGAAGATCTGGGAATCATACTACGAACTTTGTCGCGCTTTTCATGCAAAAAAAATAAATTAAGAATTTCTTGATTTGTGTAAATATTACTTTCGTTATTGTTATCGATTTTAACTCGTTTCAGTACTAATATTAAGGGACATAACAGATAATTATTAGCTCACATGCATCAAGTGACGTAAACAAGTGAGTCTTTGACAAGAACTCATTGAGAAGGCTTGTTTTTCATGGCACACTAGGCTAAATATCCATATGATATGTGTGCATTTTTCAAAAAACCCTAATTATCTCCCAAACTATTAATGTTAGGTATGGGACATATGGGATATAAAAGATGTAGAATGAGACGCCGAAGACGACTAAGTAATAAAATATGGGGGGTGCCATTTAAAAAAATGAAGTTATGGTACTTCCAAATTTTGAAAAGTTAACGTGCCATAGTAAAGTGACCAAACGTTCTAGACAGCCGTTCTCGGCACCAAAACATACTCCATCATGTTGCTTAAGCATGTTCTGAATCCTAAATTGATATCCCAAAAATCGAGTGTTCTCTGATTTTTTGAACAAATGTCTGCTGGAGCAGATTTTTCTAGAAAAATTCGAATAACTCGAGAACGGCCGAATCAAATTGCAAAAAGTAAAGTTATTCATAAACTTTGAAAACAGACAAATCCAAATATGTAAAAATATACAGTGTGTTCCATTTAAAAAAATAAAGTAGGTGGCGACTTCCGGTATAACCGGAAGTGCAAGAAATCTAAAAATATTTTAGTCGAAGAGGTCGTAATTGATAATACTTAAGTCTGAATTCTCAAATTTTTATTTTCGCCAGAACCCCAGAAACGTCTAATGACCGGTCTCGCTGAGACACCTGTATATATATATATATATATATATATTTATTGTTCGCTTTAGCATGTCGTAGGGAGCATTGGGAAATACCTCCACGGATACCTTTTATATTTTTATTATCAATTTCTATTTTTTAAAAAGTTTTTCATACCGAGGCCCCGCCCATTCAAATTGTAATCTAAATTTCAAACTTCAAAATTTTATTCCGATATTTTTTCATAACTTTAGCGGGTATGATTGTCATTTATTTATTAAAGAAATGGGTGATGTAGATAAAGATGGGCTTGATGTGTTACCTAATAATAAAGAGAGATACATTAGTTTTAGTAAAAGAGTGTTGGTTGATAAGGTAATTAGCGAAGACAAATCTGTTGGAAATGTTTTCTTTAAATTAAGATTTGTTGATTCATTTAGATTTATGTCATCTTCATTAGATTCTTTACGTTTTAATTCCAAACTACAATCAATTTTTTATTTAAAAATTATTATATTTACGACTAAAATACAAGTAACATTATGTTGATTACATAAAAATTTTTGTAAAATTAATACATTGTTTTGTGAACATACTGCTGGAGAGCCGGTGTGGAACCAACATTGATTGGCGGTTGAATTTAATTTAACCCCATCCTCTTCCGCAAATTCTAATGCAATATCAGTTATTAGTATTGAATTGCTGTTACGTATTTCCAAAAACTGCTTCTTTTGATTTCCCTTAACAAATATTTGATCGTAGGAGGAAATTAAGGTATCAATTACATTTAGACCTTCTGATTGATTTCTCATTATGACAGCGCCATCTATAGATCATCAGGTACATTTAAAAAAAAAATGGCTGCGTGTGAAATTATTCTTTCTGCTTATTTCCGCTACCCACCGCTTTTTTAGTTCCGCCGTCCGCCGCCAGGTGGCGCCACCGTCGACCGATCCTTCGATCCTTAAGGATGCACCGCCAGGTGGCGCTACCGTCGACCGATCCTTCGATCCTTAAGGATGCATCGCTAGGTGGCACTATCGTCGACCCATCCTTCGATCCTTAAGGATGATCTTTAAGGATGCTCGTGACGTCCGTGATGTTCCAGGCCCGGAAGTGACCTTAAGGATGACCTTAAGTCATAGATAATTTGTATGGGTGGGTCTCAATGTCTCAATTTATGTCCGTTTCCGATTTTAAATGACTATCTGAAAACCAAATTGAAAATTTAGATTTTAATAATAATATACCAGATATTTCCGATTTTGGATATATTTTAAACGTTGATATTGAATACCCTGAAATTTTACATGATCTATATAATGATCTCCCGTTAATAGCTGTAAACCTATTACCACCTAACGGTAAATGTGAAAGTGATTAATTCCGAATTTATTTAATAAGAAAAATTATGTTGCACATTATAGAAATTAATTTATATTGAACCATGTGTCCCATAAAACTAAAACTAAAATCCATGGTAGTTCTCGATAGAGTCATGATACATCTACACGGTTTTTTATATTTAAATTTATTTTATCAAGGGCTAAATCCGCAAAGGAAGATGGACTGAATAAAACCATTGTAACGTAACTAAACTTCAACATATTAATTTACCTTTAGATAATTTATATTATAATAATTACACGTTTCCCGGTAAATAATAGGTTACGAGAGACGTATTGAAATCAAATTTGAAATAATAATTTTTATTAATTTTGATAATTTGTATTATCATAACGATACGTTTCATAAAAGTATAAGGTCAGCAGAGATATGCATTAGATGTATATATTCCCAGCGAGTGCTAGTGGTAGCGGNATATGTCCCAACGCGATTTGATTTTTGCGATACAAGGTTTAAATGCCTTAGGTATAAACGCGGACAAACCTAAAGTTCCCATTTCGTCGTTAGAGAAGAATAGGGTGTATCGGGTGATACGTTTCACGCAAGTACTATCTATTTTTTCCGCTGAAATTCAAATAAAAGGATTTTTCATTTCCTACAAGAAAATGTTAATGAAAATTTTTTTGATTTATTAGGTTATGTTATGTTTGGATAGGTTGAGTTGAAAAATGATTACTTATTAAAGTTTTGTATAAAAATTCGTTTCCGCGATAAAAAATGTTTTAGAATGAGTACCAACACGATAGGGTTATCTCAAACTTTTTTTTCAAAATGTCGGTTTTATAGCGCCATCTATTTAGGTTCAAACAACATTTTTTTGAGATAAACCCATCATGTTTGGGCTCAAATAAAATGATTTTTCGTTTTCTAAAACAAAGTCTTGATGAAATTTTTCTCTTTTATTTATTTATTTTTTTTTTCAAAATGGCGGTCTATAGCGACACTTATTTAGGGTTAAACGACATTCATTAAATTTTCTTATTGATGAAGCTGATTGATGAATTGTTGACGGACATTGAGTTCAACCCCTGTTCAACCGGTCGACCGGTTCAACCCCTGTTCAACCGACCGGTTCAACCCCAGTTCAACTGATGTAGTTGTTGTTTCTACATCGGTTGTTGTTTCTACATCTGTTGTTGTTTCTATATCTGTTGTTGTTTCTATATCAGTTGTAAAATCAGTTGTTACATCTGTTGTTGTTTCTATATCAGTTGTAAAATCAGTTGTTATATCAGTTGTTGTTTCTATATCAGTTGTTGTTGTTGTTTCTACATCAGTTGTTGTTTCTACATCGGTTGTTGTTTCTACATCTGTTGTTGTTTCTATATCTGTTGTTGTTTCTACATCAGTTGTTGTTTCTACATCGGTTGTTGTTTCTACATCTGTTGTTGTTTCTATATCTGTTGTTGTTGTTTCTAAAAATTAAAGCTTTTACGTATCTTCATTCATTAAATTTCCTTAATGATGAAGTTTAAAAAAATCTTTGATATTATTGAAGTTTTTACGATTTTAATCATCAAATTTTAAAGTTTTGGTGAAATTTCATCAAATAAATACAAATTATTTATTAAAACTTGATGATTAAATGAAGTTTTTTGATTTATTATTAAACTTCTTATAAAAAAATTAAAATTATAACAAGTTAGATGAAGTTGATTTGATTTTATCAAAGTTTTCTTGACGTATAACCCAAAATTGGGATAAATATTGAAGTTTTGAGGTGATTCTTTCGCATTAAATTCAAATTTTTACTAAAACATTAACTTTTTTGATGAAGTTTCATAAAATAACATCGCTATCATTGAAGTTATTAAGATTTCACATTTTTAATTCTCAAATTTTAAAGTTTTGGTGAAGTTTCATCAAATAAATACAAATAATTTATTAAAATTTGAAGATTTGATGAAGTTTCAATTAAATTTTTTTGAATCATTATTAGACTTCTTGTAAAAATTAAGTTTTGTTAAAGAATAAGGCTTAAAATTGAAGTTTTGAAGTAGTTTTCTTGTACTAAACTTTCTTATTAACGTTCTGCGGTTAAGTTTCATAAAGTGATGTTGTTATTATTGAAGTTTTTGTGGTTACTACGTTGATTTTCAACTTTTTGAGTTTGAAATTTTCACAATTTCATAAAACTTCATCAAATAAGGGGTTGAAGGGGGTCAATAAGACACTAAGATGGGGTTGAAGGGGGTCAATAGGGCACTAAGATGGGGTTGAAGGGGTTGAAGGGGGTCAATAGGACACTAAGATGGGGTTGAAGGGGGTCAATAGGGCACTAAGATGGGGTTGAAGGGTGTCAATAGGGGGTTGAAGGGGTTGAAGGGGGGCAATAGGACACTAAGATGGGGTTGAAGGGGCGTCGACCGATCCTTAAGGATGCTACTGGTGGCGCCACCGTCGACCGATCCTTCGATCCTTAAGGAGCAGCGAGAGCAACAGTACAAGTCTAGTATAACAATCCTTAAGGATCGGGGGAGCGGGGGAGCACTTCCGGTCCAGAACTCTCATTAATTATCTACTCAAGTTTCTTCTTGGCCTCTCTCTTTCTTACTATATTACCAGAGCAATACGTGTTCTCGAGTGTTAGAGAAATTTTGGTTGGTTCGCCATTTTTGGTTTTGGTGTAAAATTTTGTTTCTAATCCATATTTGTGGGATTCATCACTCGAAATAAAGTTTTGGAAAAGTGTTTTTCTTTTACCAAATTGTACGGAGATTCCGGATTTCAACGTATTTCATTACATTTTCTTCTGTCTTCTGGTTAAACCTCGAACATCAGAGGTAAGCATTTTTGTAAGGTCTTTATTAATTAGTTTTTGGCATATTCGTTCACCCTTTCACATTTTTCTTTTGATTCTTAAACTAACAATCTACTAAATCTAT